GGTCACAGCTAACAGGTGGAACTGGTCACAGCTAACAGGTGGAACTGGTCACAGCTAACAGGTGGAACTGGTCACAGCTAACAGGTGGAACTGGTCACAGCTAACAGGTGGATTAAGGTTAGTTTTAGGATCAATGGTCAGGGTTTGGATATAAAGTATAAAAAAATGAATGGAAGTCAATGGAAGGTCCCCACAAGGTTCAAGAACAAATGTGTGAGCCCAACACCCCCCTGTTGTTGTTGTTGTTGTTGTTGTTGTTGTTGTTGTTGTTGTTTGTGCCTCACAGATTGTTGCTGCTCCTTCCTCTGTGTAAAAGTTTTCATCAGGTGAAGTTAAACTCAGGTTTGTTGAAACATGAAGCATCGAGCCCGGCTCTGTTCAGAGACGTTTCACTGGAAACCAGAGAAAAACTGTGACTTRTCTGTTGTCTAATGTTTTTAATCGTTATTTTAATCTGTATTTTCACGTTAACGGCTTTAAAAACTYATTTCTTGTCAATAATTTTATAAATATTATAACATTTAATAAGCTTTTATACCGAGAGTTATTCTGTCAGAAATATAAACTCCTACAGGAAGTGCATCCAGGCTGAACAGGAAGTGCTACAGCTCGCTGCACTTTAGGGACGCACCGATATCTGATATTTTCATTCTGATAACCGATATTTACTGAGATTACTCAAACACAGTGGCTCTGTTGGTAGAGCTGGTGCTGCTCAGCGAGAAGGTTGCCGGATTAAATCCCGGCCCGGGGACCTTTCTGGGTAGAGTTTGCATGTTCTCTCCGTGCATGTGTGGGTTTTCTCCGGGTACTCCAGCCTCCTCCCACAGACCAAAAACATGACTGTTAGTTTAACTGATTAAATGTCTCAGGTGTGAGTGAGACTGAACGGTTGTGTGTCCCTGTGATGGACTGAGACCTGTCCAGGGGGGACCCCGCCCCCTCACACTGTGACTGATGGAGGTGGACACCAGTGACCCTGAAAGGAACAAACAGGTTTAGATGATGGATACACAAATATAATTTATATACATATACCCACAAATACACTTGTCTTTTTTTAAAACCACAAACATGACGTCTGACAACGATCATGATCAGACAGACCAACCATGTCCCCTCCCAAAACACAAACATCAGAGATGTTTGTGTGATGTTTGATGATGGGAGGTAAATATTGGACGTTAATATTGGTCRAGTTTTACTTACTGAACAGATACTGATGTTAATGCTGATAAATCGTACGTCTCTACTGCATTTTTCTTAAATTGTGCTCACAGACACCTTTCAAAATAAAATAAAACAGAAACARGGAGGATGTAGATTCCATCAGTAAATCTGAGCTCACCCGTTTCCAATTACAAATCCTTTCAAAATAAAATACGATGGCAGAAAAATGCTCTGAGCTCTTGCTTTATTTTGGTGACTAAATTTAAAATATTCAGAAATCCCTGCATCAGTATAAATAAAAGTAACACACCTATTATCTGTTTCTGTACTTTAACTTTTTATATCAAATAGTTTCATCTGAATGCAGGAAGTTAGAAAGTGTCGGAACATTTAGAAGCAGAAATGTTGGATTTTATTTTGTTTTTTAACTCAGTAAAATTCGTGAAACTAAAGTGAGAAAAGATAGAATAAAGAAAATGTTCATTTTAAAAATAAATCCAACATTTCTTAAATATATTTTAAAGCTCTGTCGTCTGAAACTGTGAGGAAATATTCTTACTTTGTATTATTTAAAGGTTRTAAAGCGGTTCAGTCCAAAGACTTTGTGTGTCGGTTGGACTGATGTGGACCAGACTTCAGTTCTGGTTCTGTCTGACCCGGTTCTGCTCTCCGTTCTGCTCCCTTTGGTTCAATCGGCTGTTGAAAATAAAAAGTCGTCTCCTCCCAGCTGCAGAGCAGAAGCTGCTTTAAAAAGAACCGAACTCTGTGAAGTTATTTTAGTTTTATTACAGCTGGTTCTGGTCGGGTCGGGCCGGCCCGTGAGCTGTAACTACAGACGAGCTTCATGGCTCWGATCTAAATGTGGAGCTGAAATAACCCAGCTCTGTCGCTTTCTGAGGGTCTGAAGAAGTTTTTAATTTTCTATTTTTACACCTCGGCTCCATCACAGATGTTCTCCTCTGGGAAGACGCTCCACTCTGCTTCAGTTTCTCTCCTCTGTGGTCGGACGGGTTTGCCTTTTTTTTAGTCAGACAGAGAGAAATGAGAGCAGCAAAGATTTATTCTGTGAAACGGACCGAGTGAAGAATCCAAACTGAAGTTCTGCTGAAACAGGTCCAGCAAGAAAGAAAGGAGGATGGTGATGAAGAGGAGGATGGTGATGAAGAGGAGGATGGTGATGAAGAGGAGGATGGTGATGAAGAGGAGGAGGAGTGATGAAGAGGAGGATGGTGATGAAGAGGAGGAGTGATGTTCAGTCAACGCTTGGCTGAACCTCAGAGCCTCACTTCAGTTTCAGGCTGACCTGGTTTGGTTCCGAACGACCTGAGGTCAGCCGAGCTGAAAAATCACTTCCTGTTTCCCTGAATCCTCAGAGGCTGAAAACCTGCCGAAGAAAAAGCTTTTTTAATGTTTCATCTCTAAATTAAACAAAACTTTTGGAAACACAGTTCTTTAAAGATTCACAAGGTTTGTTCCAGCTTTAAGAAAAAAAATATATACATATCTGCTAAAACCATCTTGTCAGAACTGAAGAACAGCTAAAAAAAGCTAAAACTAAAATGCRAAGGTTCTAACAGAACAAAAAGCCAATATAAACAAAGTAGAGACACGAATTAATCAAACTTAACCCATCTTAAACCTAAAATGAACATTGGATAAAAGTTATAACTAGCAAATGAGAAGCTAAAAGCAAAACCCAGCAAAACAATAGCTAAAACAATGAACTGGCAAAACAGTAGCTAAAAGCTGAAAAATAATAAAATCTTAGTTAAAAGCTAAAGTTGCCAAAAATTAGCTGAAAGCCAAAARTGAAAGAAGCATTAGCTGTAGTTTAAACCCACTAAAACAGTAGCTAAAATAAAAAAAATAGCAAATAAATAAAACTTAAAACTGTCCTGATGTATCAGTAATCCAGGTAGGAAAAATATAATAATCATATTAATATGATGACTAATATGACTATAATCAAAGTCTAACAAAAATAATTACATCCCTAAATTAGCAAAACAGTAGCTTAAAGCTGAGATAAGTCAAAACCTAAATCCTGCAAAGCAGAAGCTAAAGGCTAAACCCTGTAGCTAAACGCTAAAAGTGGAACATGCATGCTGAAGTAGAGTTCAAAGAGCACAAACATGTTCAAGGATTTGAAAAACGTTCAGTAATTTCTGAGAGAAAAAGATGTAAATAAATGTAAACATTTGACACAAAACAAAAGTCAGTCGTAATGATGTGAATGAGCCGAGGCTCTGAAAATATCTCCTAATATTTGTTGTGTTTAAACACGTAGCTGATTTGTATGTTAGCCTAGCTTAGCATAAACACTGGCAGCAGAAGGAAACTGTTAGCATGTCGTGTTTTGTGAAGCAAACAGTCAAAATCTTTCTTCTGTCCTGATGAGAGCTCAGTTCGGTGCAGAAGCAGCAGCTTCAGCTGCTCCACGGTTCTGAAATCAGAGCTGTCCCTTCAGATCTGAGCCCTGCAGGACGTCTCTGCAGGGGTCTCAGGTCTCTGCAGACCGCTGCGTCTCTGTGAACACGCTGCTGAGGCGGCAGGAACCACAGCCACCGCACAGCTTTGTGGGACTGGTTGGGGCTCGGGAGGGCTTTGAAACTCTTTGGGAAGAGATGGAAACGCTGGCAGGTTTTTACTGGTTCGTCGTGATGTTTTAGCGTTTTTATTGTTTGAATCTTTGTGAAATAAACAGAGTTCTTCTTGTTTAAAATGCTGAGTTCTGTTAGATCAGTTGTTCCTAACCTTTTAAGACTTGTGTACCCCCTGAACCATTGTCACACCACTAGTACCCCCGCTATTAAATGTAATGATGATTCTCCAAAACTATAATGTACAACAGCTGATTATTAAATGAAAATTATTTATTTAACCCCTAGAATGTTTAATTGTGTGAACACCTCCAGCATTCACACTATTGTTTTCATGTTTCTCTTTATTCTTTATTATTCCAGTTTCTTCTGTATGTTTTTTGGACGGCTTCTCCTTCCACAGTTTTTATGCAACTTAAACAATTCATATATTAAAATATTTAGCTCGTTCAGGACATTCCGGATA